ATATATATATATATATATATATATATAAAGAATTTCGTTCGTTTAAACTTCTGAGCTCTGTAGAGAAAATGGAAACATTTGTTTATTATTGTCTCATGTCATGAAGTGAAGACGGGACGTGGAAAGAGCCTCCATCCCGTCCGTATTGTGAGTATGATACCTTGAACAATAAGTGAGGTACCAACCTCCATTTTGGTGTGAGAAAGGTCACCAACTAAAATCCAAGATGGCCACTGCCATACATACAGACACTTTCCAAAAAATTAGAATATCATAGAAAAGTTGTTTAACTTCCATAATTCCATTCAAAAAGTTAATCTTTAATAGATGATAGATTCAGGGCCCACAATTTACATGATTTCAAGTATTTATTTGTTTATTTTTACATAATTTGGGCTTCCAGCTCATGAAACACACGAAAACAGGAATTCAAAATATTAGAATACTGTGAAGACATCAGTCCACTCTTCTCAGTTTTTGCAGGAAAAAAGAAAGAAATTAGGATCCCAACAAATCAATAAAAATATGGTACTTTCAAAATGATATGTTAATCTTCAGTACTTGATTGTGAATCCCTTTGTCTTAATCACTGCCTTGATGTGATGTGGCATTGAGTCAACCAGCCTGTGGCATTGACTGGGAGTTATGGAAGCCCAGATTTCCTTGATGTGCTCTTCTTTGTTGTTGGGTCTGGTGCTCCTCATTTTCCTCTTGAGAACACCCCATAGATTCTCAATGGGGTTTAGATCCGGTGAGTTGGCTGACCAGTCCAACACTGTGGCATGGGCATGAAACCAGGTTTTGGTGCTTCTGGCAGCATGGGCAGGCGCCAGGTCCTGCTGGAAGATGAAATCTGCATCTCCATACAGATCCTCAGCAGAAGGAATCATGAAGTCCTCTAAAACATGCTGGTAGACTGTTGCAGTGACCTTGGATTTAAGAACACAGAGTTTACCAACACCTGCACCGGACTTTGCACCCCAAATCATGACTGACTGTGGATATTTCACACTGGACCTCAAGCAGTATGTGTTCTGTTCCTCACCCTTCTTCCTCCAAACCCTTGGACCTTGATTTCTGAATGAAAGACACACTTTACTTTCATCGAAAAAGAGGACCAAGGAACCCGACTGTTGTAGCCCATCTCCCGGATGTGTCTGAATGTGATGTCTTTTGAAGCTGTGACTCCCGCCTCATTCCACTCTTTCTGGATCTCTGCCAGATTCTGGAATCTTCTCTGTTTGATAATCTGCTGAAGCCCACGGTCATCTCTTTTGCTGGTGCATCTTCTCCTGCCACATTTTGCCCTTCCACTAGACTTTCCATTGATATGCTTGGACACAGCACTCTGTGAACAGCCAGCCTCTTTAGCTATGAACTTTCGTGGCTTACCCATCCTATGGAGGGTATCAACGATGGTCTTCTGGCCAGTTGTTATGTCTGCAGTCTTCCCCATATTGAACCAAACTGAAACAATTGAACCAAACTGAAGCAATTTAATGACATCTGGGGAAACCTGTGCAGGTGCTTTGAGTTTAGTAGATGATTAGTGTCTCACACTCAGTTTAAAACATTGATGCCCTGCTAAATTTGGGCTGATTTCTTCACAGTATCCAAATTTTTTTTAATCCTGTTTCTGTGGGTTTCATGAGCTGGAAGCACAAATTATGTAAAAATAAACAAATAAATACTTGAAATTGTTGAAATTGTGGGCCTTTTTGAATGGAATTATACCATACCATACCATACCAATTTATTTATATAGCACTTAAAACAGCAACAACGCCAACCAAAGTGCTGTACAAAAGAACACAAACATGCACAGCGGACAGGAAAACATAAAATAGAAATACAGATACAAATAGCAGCAGAAGCTAACTAAAATGGCCAACAGAGTAGAGAACAGACCGGACCAAAACAAATCACACCGTGTTAAAGGCAAGCGAATAGAAGTGGGTCTTCAAGCGAGACTTAAAGACTGAGAGTGTGGAAGCCTGCCGGACACTCAGTGGCAACTCATTCCACAGTCGTGGACCTGCAACAGAGAAAGCCCTGTCACCTCTGAGCTTACGACGGGTTTCTGGGACTGAGAGAAGCATCTGGTCTGCTGACCTCAGAGAGCGCGGTGGGACATATGGCTGCAGAAGATCAGTGAGATAGGATGGGGCGGAACTGTTCAGTGATTTAAAAACATACATGAGAATTTTGAAATGGATCCGAAGGTGAATGGGTAGCCAGTGCAGGGAGGCCAAAACTGGCGTGATGTGCTCTCTATAACCTGTACCAGTTAAAAATCGGGCTGCAGCATTTTGGACCAATTGTAGACGAGCAATGGAGGACTGACTGATTCCAAACAGAAGTGAATTGCAGTAATCAAGCCTAGATGTTATGAAGGCGTGGATCACTGTCTCGAGGTTCTTTTTGTTGAGTATAGGCTTCAGCTTAGACAGCCGTCTCAGCTGAAAAAAACAGGATTTGACCATCATGTTTACGTGACTGTTGAGTTTTAAGGACGGGTCCATTATCACCCCCAGATTAGTGACCTTTTGTTTCTCTAGCGGGGCTAGAGAGAATAGGTCAATGTCATAGTTCATGAGTGAGCCACTGGGATGGAACAGCATGACTTCAGACTTCTTCTCATTGAAGCTTAAGAAGTTTAAAGCCATCCAGTCCCGGATGTCAGCCAGGCAGTCAAGAAGAGGCTGAATAGAGCGTGTGCCTCTGTGCCTCAGGGGGAAGTAAATTTGGCAATCATCGGCATAGAAATGAAAGGGTATGTCGTGTTTGCGGAAGATAGCACCTAGTGGCAGCAGGTATAAAGAAAAGAGAAGGGGACCGAGGATGGACCCCTGCGGTACCCCCCACTGGAGTGCGGTCGATGCCGAACTAAAATCTTTGATATTGACACAGAAGGTTCTGTCAGAGAGGTAGGACCCAAACCATTTAAGGGCTGACCCTGTGATGCCCACCCAC